CCACCTTAAGCCCTCTGGTGGCATCCCAACAGTTCCTCAGCCTCTACTTATTTTGTTCTTTTTTTCATCCAACCTCTGGGAGGATGTGTTTAAAATCTAAAGCATTTCCCCTTCCTTACTTAAACCTCTGAATTTTTATTTATTTATTTATTTATTTATTTAGAAAATACTCTTTTGTGTTATTCAGGGAAGAAAGCTATGTCAAATTACTTATCCACCTAAACTTTGTAGGGATTGAATTAGGGGGGGTAAATGGTGAAGTTACTTGTTTGATCATTCCCTATGAGCAACACTATTCATGTGAGTTTAAAGATCAAGCATATCTTTAAACATATTTCTTTTACTTTTTAATTATATTTGCTATTGTTCTTTGTTACACTCTAACATACTCTGACTTGTAATGATCTGACAAATTTTATATATATTCACATACACTTGTATACACATGTATGTGGTGTATATATGTGTGTGTGTGTAAATTGTGTAAGATAGATATAAAATAGTATAAGAAACTTGAAGACCTGGTTTTAGGAAGGGACATTTCCTTGAGTAGCTCTCATTGTACTTTTTTTTTAGTGTATTGATTTGAGAGAGAGAGGCACTCATCGATTTGCTGTTCCACTTATCTGTGTGTTCATTGGTTGATTCTTGTATGTGCCCAGACCATGGATTAAACCCACAATCTAAGTGTTTTGGGACAATGCTCTAACCAACTGAGCTACCTGGCCAGGGCACTCTCATTGTACTTCGAATGAAATCCAAACTCCCAGTAGGGTCAGCCCATATGCCTCTCTAGGTTCCTTGGGTCATTCTTCATTGCCCTTGGGCCTAAGATCGGTTCTAAGAGTTCCTTCCTCTTAGGGCTTTCTATATGCCAGAACATTTCCTGTTACTTGGAACAGTTTCTCCTAAACCTTTACCTAGTTCCCTTCTGTTCAGCATTGAATCTTGTTTTAAATGCCACTTCCTCACAAAGGCCTTCCCTGACCTCTCTTTCTAAAGTTAAGTGTCAGTGTTATTTTCTCTTACCCTAACCTGATCTTTTCCCTCATGATATGTATCATAAACTGAAGTTGTTAACTAGTTGGTCTGTTTACTTTTTTTTTTTTTGCCAGTCTTTTCTGCTCAAATAAAAGCTTCATGAGAGCAGGAGCCATTTCCATAATGACTATAATCTAGCAAAGCACTTGACACAGAGTAGACCCCTGTAAGTATTTGAGAAGTAAATGAAAGCACAAGTGAGCCACAGTAGAAAGTTTTGATTTTCCTACTGGGAGAGGGAGACTCTATGAGCTGGAAAAGACTAAGACAAGACTTCCCAATTGAGGAGAGAAGTATGTAGGAGCTTAGAGGGAGGAAATACTTTTATCAAGGTCCTTTTATGTTCTGGGCAGTGTACCAAGTACTTTCGTACATATCATATCATTTCACTTTCCTAGTAATCCTTTTTTTATAGATACACAGAGGCTCAGAAGGCTCATATAACTGCTCCATGCTGACACAATTGGGAAGCAATAGAGCAAGTATTTTATCTGCAGCTCTAGCTGCAAAGCCCTATCTCAGAATCACAAACTGAAGTGTTTACAGGACCAGGTGGCCAAGGTAGGGATTGGGAGGAACCAGAAATCCTGTGATCTAAAGAGGCAGCTACAGCCAGCCAGCCAGTGCCATGGGGAAACGTGGGCCTGCAATGGCCATAGCTTCCAAATTGTCAAGGGACTTGTAGATCTGATTTTTATGGAAAATATTCTCTTTTTAGATGTTGGCAGCCAATTTTTTTTAACATTTTAAACTTTGGGAAGTCCAAATATTCAGTGGCTGGTTTTTGCCTTCAGTCAGTCCATTTGTAGGCTCTTCTTTACAACAGAAATGATGAGCCCACCCTATTTGGAACAGAGTCTAGAGGAGAGTCACAGTGTGTCAGGTCACATTGAAGTCCCTTTGGAGCAGAACCAGTACGGGCCTTGGGCTTGTAGAATAGTCAGCTCTGCTTTAGTGTGACATAGGTATTTCTAAAATTTTCCACATTTTTCAGAATTGTGCAGTGGAAACCACAGGGCTTATGCAAATCTCTGCCTCTGTCACCACATGGTCTTCTTAAAAGGACACCAGTCATTATATTTAGGACCCACTGTAATAATGAGTCTGGATACATCCTCTTAATTTGATCATTTCTTTGTCCCATTAATCAGGAGTCCACCTGCTCATGTTTGTTAGGAACGTTTTGGTTTCCCTAATGGTCACCTTAGGGTTTCCACGTGGGTATTTGGGGAGTTTTTTTTCTGCTTACATTTTTAGTTTTTTCATAGAGGTGATTTCTCTGGATGGAAAAATGGAAATGTCTTGTGAGGGAAGAACAAACAAAAAGACCTTTAAATGTAAATAATGCATTGAACTCAGGTGAGCCTGAATCTTTGAAGAAATAAAGAAAATAATGTGGGCTTTTGGGTATGTTATATGTACAGGCACCAAGAGCAACTGTCCCAGTCTCGACCCAGTCAGTCCCCACCATCCACCTCCTGCACAGCCCTGTACTTCGCTTGCCTCAACCAAGAGGACTAGGGATGGCAGAAAAGGAAGTGACATGCCAGTTACCGTGGGTATGCTGGTACAACGTGCATTATCTCTGAACACTCCAAGGGCAAAGGACTTACTATACTCTCCTTCCCTTGGTTGTAGTTGGTAATTAGGAAGACCCCTCTGAATCACATGACTATTTCATTTTTCAACAGGGAAAATAGGAAGGAAATAAGAACTGAAAAAGGCAGACAGTTGACTCAGATCTTAATGTGATGAGGACCTTACAAAGGCTATTGTCCTTACTCTTAACTAAGGCAGGAGTCCCTTCTGTGGCATCTGAGAGAAGTCAACCAGTCTCTCTTCAGCTGTTCAGTCGAACATTGGGTAGGAAAGTTTTTTTAAGAGAATTCTTTTGAAAAGATTTTCTGCCTCATGTTTTACTGTTGCAGGAGACTCGGGGTATGCCACAGATTGTAACAGTGAAAGGGACTTCCTTTGCTTCTCTCTAAATCTGTTCTTCAGCCTTAAAGGTTTTTTGACCTTTCAGTTGGAAATAAGGGTTTAATGGGATTCATGCCCAGCCATCAGCTAAGATTTGTTTTTGTGTGTACTGTCCCCAGTCTGCTCTTTTTTCTGGTCTCATATTTGCTGTGCCCTCAGCCTGTAACACACTTTGCCACATCTTTGCATGGCTTCCTCTCTTGCTTCTTTCAGGTCTTTGCTCAGCATCACTCCTTCAGAGAAGTCTTTCTTTATAAAGTTGATCCCTTGGCTACTTCTTCATGTCATGCTCTTCTCATTTACCTGGCTTTTTAGTTTTCTCCATGGCACTTATCACTAACTGATATTCTATGAGTGTTCATGGTCTGTTTCCCTTGGTAGAAGGTTATCTTCACAAGGTAGGATTTTAGTGGCATTTATGTCCCTATCTCTAGTACTGAGAACAGTGCTTGGCACATACTGGGTGCTCAGTAAACATGTTTTAAGTGATTGCATCTTTATCACCTGTGTCATTTTCTTTTGAACCAACCAGCATTGTCAGATTTTCCATATTAAACAGTTGGCAAAGCTCTGATGTTAAACTGTGCATTTCTTGTTCAACCTTGGAATTCCCAATCACAAAGCAACATCTGTCAAGATGTGGCGCAGATTCCAGACCTACCCATAAATATGCTGTGGGGAACTGAGTTGCTGAGATGCTGTAGCGCATCTCCCCTTGCCCAGGGCCCCCCTGCACAACAACCCCAAGACTCCTGTTTGAAGTGAGGACCTGTGGGTGTCCTCGGGGAGAAGGTAGGCAGTGTCCTGAGCTGGGCACTTAGCCTGGGAGAGAGCAAATCTTAGTTGCCTAGAACAGCTTCAAAGAACTTTATGAGTAGGAATAAGAGAAGTCACTCTTGCCATAGCAGCTATTTTAACCGTGACTGATACACTCACTGAGACTCTTGGCAGAAGCAGTCCCTGATAGCTGGGCTCCTGAATGGTGGGAGTCTCCAGAGGAGTCAGTGTCAAGACTTCCTCAGAGTTAGCACCTTTGGTGCTTTCACAATCTATTATTAAAGTCTTCTCTCCATGTACCAGGCCCTATGCTGGCCCTGGGGATACAGGCCTGAATCAGGTGTAGTCCCTATCCTTAAAGACCTGTGAGCCAGGAAGTGGGAAAAGTTGGGTGTATGTCAGCAAGGGACTCCCTGAATGCTGTCACCATAAGGCAAGATTATTTACAGGATCTTCCATTGAGAAACAACCATTCTTTAAAGCAGTCATTTCCAGTTTTTGCATTTTGTTGGTCAGCAGCATTTCAAAAAAGTTGTTTACGCTTTTTATTATGCCCAGAACAAGGACTTTTTTTAAGTTAAATCTATCATCTACTCTTTATTACTGTCTTCATTTTATAAAAGAAAGGGCCTTTTTCCAATTTCATTGAGAGATAATTGACGTGCAGCACTGTGTAAGTTTAAGGTGTACCGCCTAATGACTTACATAAATTGTGAAATGATTGCCACAGTGAGTTTAGTTAACATCCACACAAAAAAGAGAAAGAAAAATTTTTTCCTTGCAGTAAGATATTTTAGGATCTACTCTCTTAATAACTTTCAAATACTCAATACAGCAGGGTTAACTGTAGTCCCCATGTTGTACATTACGTTCCCAGGGCTTGCTTTTTTTTATACAAGAAATTTGTAACTTTTAACCGCCTTCACCCAATTCCCCTTCTCCTCACCCTTAACGGGCATTTTAATTCTAAAAATAGTGGGAATGATACCATCCTAGAATGAAGTTAGCTTTATAAAATTTGTATTCTGAAAAGTTCACTGTTGTGTTTTATTTTTCTCATTTCACCATGCACTGGTGAAATTGCATCTTGGACCAGCATTGACTCCAGGACGGCGTTGGGCAGTCACCGCTTTGAGCACCACCTGCAAGTGCACGAGTCGCACAATGCTCCGTGAGAGCAGCCTCCATGTTGTGTCTTGTAGATTGTGACAGACCAGCAGACAGGACAGAAGATCCAGATAGTCACCGCAGTGGACGCCTCCGGATCCCCCAAGCAGCAGTTCATCTTGACCAGCCCAGATGGAGCTGGAACTGGGAAGGTGATCCTGGCTTCCCCGGAGACATCCAGTGCCAAGCAGCTCATATTCACCACCTCGGACAACCTCGTCCCTGGCAGGATCCAGGTAAGGACTGTTGACAGGCATTGGTTTTCACACTTCTGCTACTGAACTTGTTTCTGACTGTAACGTCTGCCATAAAGGCCAGATTAATCTCTAGAAGGTTCTTTGGAGGCTGGCAAACATGGCAGTTTGGTGCTTTGGCTAAAGTAAAAAGTCAGCAAATGAATGTCAAGACCCAAAGGCAGTCAACTGTAGTGCTCAGGTGGGGTGGAAGTTGAGCCGGGAAAAATCAGTGGTGCACAGGAGACTGTCATGAGCAAGCTGCCACTTAGTTCTTAACTAAGGCCACGTGGTGGCAGCCCTTGGCCCAAGATATATTAGTGATAACACTTAGGTCTGAACCTAGTCAGGTAAAGACCAACTTACCTTATCCTTGTCCAGATGGTCAGGCCCCATCCAGCTGTTCATGGTGTCCTCATTTGCTCCTGTGAACTGCTGCCTCTGGGTCCCTCAGTTCTCATCTCCTACTCTGGCAGGGTGGGATGGCATCAGGGACAGGTATAGGAAGGAGAAGAGCAAAGACTTAAAGGAAAGCAGGGTTTTGGGGAAGCACTGAATTTCCAAGCCCAACACCTAAAGGAACAGACACTCAAGAGCAGTGTCCCACCGAGGCCAGGCATGGAGCATGTTTAGTCAGGGTCAAGTTGAAATTTATATTTTTTGTTTGTTTTTAATTTTTAAAAAATTGGTGGTAAAATGTAACAAAATGTACCATTTTAATCATTTTTAAATGTATAGGTCAGTAGCATCGAGTACATTCACATTGTTGTGCAATTGCTACCACCATCTATCCACAGAACTCCTTTCATCTTCTCAAAGTGAAACTCTGTGCCCATTAAACAGTAACTTCCCATTCTGTCCTCCCCACTTCCAACCCCTGGTAACCACCATTCCACTTTCTGTCTATGAATTTGATTCCTAGGGACCTCATATTAATGGAATCCTACAATATTTGTCTTTCTGTGAAGGGCTTCTTTTACTTAGCATAATGTTTTCAAAATTTGTTCATGTCATAGCAGGTGTCAGAATTTCTTTCCATTTTAAGGCTGAATTTTGTATATGTATACCACACCTCATTTATCCAGTACCTGTTAGTGGACACTTGGGTTGCTTTTACCTTTGGTTACCGCAAATAATGCTGCCAAAAATCAGTATGTTTTGTGGCAGACTTTCTAGTATGGAGAAAATTAAGGAAGGCAAGGATTTTTTTTTTTCCCCCTTCTGATAGAGCTGGGTTTAGAACACCAGTGTCTTCAATTTTCAGAATTGTAATTTTGAGACACCTCATAGTACAGTTAGTAAGTACTTCCTCATCTTTCCCTCCCCACAGTACATTCTGATCATCTGAAATTAGAATTCCTCACTGCATCTTTAGACTATTCCTTGTTTGTGAAAGGATGGTAATTGATTTTGCTGCATGTTTTACAGGTCATTCTACATAATGATTTATGATATATTCCCACTATACATACACACACACACACACACACACACATATAAAATCATTTTAAGGCTTATATTTGATAATTATTTAATAACTACTATTTTTCACTCTTTCATATTGTTATGAGTTACAGTATTCTTCTAGATGAGTAGTGCTATTTGGCACCTAGAAAGTCACCTATAAATAAAGGAAAAAGAATAACTATTCTAGTTATTCCACTCTAAGCTGCCTCAGTGTGAGACCTACTTACTTAATTAATAAAGCTTGATTATTTCTTCACCAAATATACCTCTCTGCAGGTTTTGAAGCTGTTGTGTGGGAATAGAGAGGCAGCCAGAAAGACCTTCAGTATCATGTTGAGGCTTCTATGTGTGATTCCCCACATGGCCCCCAGTCCTGGGTGGTTGTGGTAGCCAGATAGGAGAGCAGATCAGGAGAGGAGAACTGGGAGAGGATATGCTTGACCCTGGACCCCCCCCCCAACCCCCACCCCAGATGAAGAGGTATAGTCCAGATGAGCAGCAGAGCCATTCTGAGTGTCAGACTAAGTTGTCAGGTGTAATTTTCCCAGTTCTTCCCAGATCATCTCTCTTGCTTAGAAACCCAAGATTAGGAATTTACAGTTAAACAGCATTACTTTGCTTAGCAATCTAGTTTTCAGTTCACACCCTACTTGTTTTCTGATTCTTAGATTGTCACAGACTCTGCCTCTGTGGAGCGTTTGTTGGGGAAGGCTGATGTCCAGCGGCCCCAGGTGGTAGAATACTGTGTAGTCTGTGGTGACAAAGCCTCTGGTAAGTAACCCTAGGTCATGCTAGCTATGATCATGGACCAATATCATGGACTAGATTGGGTTGTAGGTTTCAAAATGTGAACTCCACTTTTCGTACTGAGGTAATAATATATATAAACAAACCAATTTGTCAGATTATTAGAATCTAAAAGAAAAGTCAGGGAACTATTTCTGTGGTTTGTGAATCATAACTGAGTATTGAATATGTATGTGCTACTAAGAAAGTAATCATTTCTTTAATCTAGTCATTATTTGCACAGTGCAGTTTCACAAGCTGTGTTATTTATTCCTCCTTCATCCTGTAAACTGTCTGTCGTCCCCTCACTGTAACCCAGTATGACAAACTGCTGGAGTAGAGAAGGGAACATACGATTCTGGCTAGAGTCCCAGGGTCAGGAAAGGCGCCCAGACCAGTCAAACACCTGTGAACTATGGAGGCTGAGTGTGCCCATGTCAGGTAAAGCAGAAGAGCATTCCAGCTGGTGAAGCCAGGGCTCAGTTTCATGTCCACATCCACAGAGTCTTTGGAGAAGAGCTCCTGGGCCTATCAGTGTGAGGATGGAGATGTCTGGCCCAGAAGTTCAGACTTTGACTTGTTGACACTGAAGGCTAGAAGATAAGTGAGGCGGACAGGGAGGAATGGAGAAATACTTAATAAAGGTCCAGTTTTGATGATGCTAGGGGCACAGGCCTGACTTTTGTGGTGGCTGCTTGGTTTCACTTTAGTCTGTTTCAACAAAATTCAGAGGAACTTGGGATACTTTGTGGTCCTGCTTTGTTTTGTTTTTAAAGGAGTTTGGACCAAGTCTCTTAGAAAGACAGCTCCACGCAAGCATTTATAGAAGCTCCAGTCTCCCTCCCAGCTTCTGACACCATCTTCCCTCTCAGGGGTGTCCTGCCTCTCTGCTCCCACCTCTTATCCTGATAAACCCAGCCCATTTCACCCCATTGGAGCCCTCACCAGTGTCACCTCTGTCCTCATCCCCCTTTACACAGACCTCGCTGAGCATTTGTTGCATTGTCTTAAAATTGGTTCTTACAGGCCTGTCTTCCCCACCAGAATGTGCTCTTTTTTGTTAGAGTAAGAACCATATGTGACCCCCTCCATCTCTGTATCCTTACCTTCTTGCTCTGCAAACTTTTGAACAAATGAATGAATCATGAACATAAAGAAAGGGGCACAGAATCTGCTTGGCTTCCCCATTTGTTAGTCATCCCTTTCTTGGTGTAAAAAGCAACAGCCTAGTCACAGGCTCACAGTGCCATTGTCTCCAGATATGAGAGGTCACCCTGGGGGCTAAAAAGCCCAAGGAAATACCCTGCAAAGAAGGAAAAATGCCTACATGGTAGGTAATTTTAGCACAACTGTTCTTAAAGGCACAAAATTGAGACCCTCCAAGTGTACCTTTGGGGAACGGCTCTGAGTGCTAGATCTTAGGACAATGGGACGCCCTGTAGCTGCTATAGATGATGATCCTATGAAAAGTATCCTCCCAGCAATAGCGAAGACATTGGGTTGCATAAGACTGAACTATGTGATGATGGAAGGAGACTTGACTTTTGGTGGTAAACACACAAAACAGTGTAGAGATGATGTATGGTAGAATTGTACACCTGAAACCTATATAATTTGATTAACCAACAAATTCAATTTTTTTAAAAAAGACAGAGGTTTGTCAGTCCCTGCTGGAAACAAATGAGGTTATAATGCCTGTGGAAGCACTCTGTGAACTAAGAAGGGTAAACTGAGGTGAGGGGCTCGTTTTAACATCATTGGTCATTAGGAGTTAGAGACACCAAAGTAACCAAGATTAGGGAAGAAAACTGTGTTTAATAAGTGTATTTCTAGGACTGTTTCCTTAAGGTTCTGACTAGCTAAGCCTAACGAGCCACTTGGCAACCTTCCTTCAACCTTCTTTATCCTTTTAGGCCGTCACTATGGGGCTGTCAGTTGTGAAGGTTGCAAAGGTTTCTTCAAAAGGAGCGTGAGGAAAAATTTGACCTATAGCTGCCGGAGCAACCAAGATTGCATCATCAATAAGCACCACCGGAACCGCTGTCAGTTTTGCCGGCTGAAAAAATGCTTAGAGATGGGCATGAAAATGGAATGTGAGTGGCAGTATTAAAGAAACAACATGAGTTAACGAGGGAGAAAGTGAGCATGAGTCTATTAAATAAGATGTATGCACCTGGCTTTAAAATACGAAGAAAAAAAATACCCACCCAGGCTTCATTTTGGTTTACCTTCTTGGATCAGCTAGGTGCTTCAGTGGTGACACTGCTGGGGTCGGTCAGTTCCTGTGTTGAATGCGGAAACCTACTCGTGGTAAATTGGGAGGCAACACTGTGGAGGGGGGTGAACACAGGCTTTGGAGTAAAGCTGATACCAGATCAAACCAGGTCTGCCACTTAGGAGCTGTTAGGCCTGGGGAAGACATGTAGCTTCTCTAAGCCACAGGGGCCTCCTCTGTGAAATAGAACCCCTTATCTTACTTATATATTGTATCTTGGGTTCAGTCTTTTTTTAAAAAGGTCTTTAGCCCTGACCAGTGTGGCTCAGTTCATTGGACATTATCCTGCAAAGTGAGAGATTGCCAGTTCGATTCCCGGTCAGGGTACATACCTAGATTGCGAGTACATACGAGAGGCAACCAATCGATGTTTCTCTCCCTCTCTTTCTCCCTTCCTTCCCCTCTCTCTAAAAATAAATAAATAAAATCTTTTTTTAAAAAATACTATATTAAAAGGTCTCTATATTCTTCAGTTTCCTGTGTATGTACCTGTCCTTATACCAGATTGCTGAAGGGAGGAGTTGCTAGGGTGATAGAAAACAGACACCACTGAACAGTTTGCAGAGGTCATGCAGGCTTGAGGTGGACATTAGAATTGTTCATCTATAATGTGTGGCATTGGACAAGTTCTCTTTGAGAGACCCACTTAAAGATGGGTGTTTCTCATCCTGGAGAGAGCCCATTTTGTTAGCAACTAAGAAGCAAAAACCCAGAGAGCTCAGCGTGGGCCCCAAGGCCATGGAGATGCTGTGCTGCAGTTCTTTGCAGGCCATGCCCACCATCTTGAACTCTTTTTCTCCCTGCCTTTAGATTTGACATGGCATTGTTTGGTTTTGAGCCTTTCTTTCCTTGTGAAAGTTGAGCTAGACTTTCCATGTAAGACCCCTTACTTTAATGGGAAGGATATGATCTTTTTTTACTTAAATTTTTCCTCTAAACATGAGTATTTATGTGGTGATTTAAGCTGTACAGAGTGAACGGAAGCCCTTTGACGTGCAACGAGAGAAACCAAGCAATTGTGCTGCTTCAACTGAGAAAATCTATATCCGGAAAGACCTGAGAAGTCCTTTGATCGCCACCCCCACATTTGTGGCAGATAAAGATGGAGCAAGGTCAGTCCCTGTTTTGACAGAGGGTAACACTACCATCAGCTTTTGTTGCTGATCAGAGGAGGCACCTATGTGTCTTGAAAAGGGGGCTTATGTGGTTCCCTGTCTTCCTACCACAGCCATCAGACTTGTCTTGCCTCACCCCAATCTTTATGAAGCTGCTCCAGTCAAATCTCTAGAAAGTCCTGAGTCCTGAGGATGGCCAATAGGATCAGAATTTTTCAAGGGCTCAGATTATGTCCTGTAACTTGACATTTTTCTTTCAGGAAAACAGTTCTGTAATTGAAGACTGGGGCTTTTTGGCAGTATAGATAAAATGTTGATGGTCCTAGGTGTGGTCCCAGATAGTGCCACAAGTTAGTTTATATGTTCTTTTTAAAGTAATCTATTGAACCTAATTAAAAAGGGACAGAGGGAGGAAAAACAAGAAATCCAGATGTATCGTAGAGAGAACTAGAGTTGAGAATGCCTTCGTGATATTCTGAAAATTAAGTTAACATCATTTGGCAGAGCAGCCACAGCCCTCAGTCAGCGTGGAAGCCCTGGGGAGGTGCGTCTGTGTGTCATTCTATCTCAGGCTATAGACTCAGCTGTGCACACAGCTCACTGTAGAGAAAAATGGGTTGTTCAATTACCTGGTGGGTAAGTCTAGCGAGAGCTTTTCTTCTACTCAGACAGCCCTGCAGATGTGGAAGGGACAGGGAAATATAGCATGGTTGTACTATGCATTAAATGTTGGAAGCCACTCTAGGTTTCTTTGTCTTAAATAGACAAACAGGTCTTCTTGATCCAGGGATGCTTGTGAATATCCAGCAACCTTTGATACGTGAGGATGGTACTGTTCTTCTGGCCACAGATTCCAAGGTAATGGTATGACTTGTCTTCTACCTTTATGTTGCAGTGCATACTGCTTTTCTAAATGTGTGCACCACCACCTTCTTGGCCTTCAGAGACCATGTTGAAAGCATGACCTTCTGCTTCTCAATTTATTTCTTGTGATTTAGCCTCCCCCAACCCCGCAACAACCCCAGTGCCGTGATTTGTTTTGGGAATGCTAATCACATTTCAGAAACTCAATCTGGGCTGGCTGGTCATAGTCATTATAACACGATCTGGAGTTCAGTTTAGAGAAAGTCCTATGGTTCTCTTCTTTATTCAGGTTTTTACTTCTGGAGCACACATTGGAACACTACTGGCATTCTGAAGAAATAACTACTTATCCTAAGATGGCCTTTTACATAAGCCTCTAGTTCCTTTTTATTAGATGACCCTCAGGACAAGGTTCAGCCAGGATTCTAAGAATTCTAAAACTGCTAGAGCAAATCAGTCATAGGGAATTCAGCTTGTGGAGGACAGAAATGTTTCTCAATCTGAGAGAGAGACAACTGGCTAACTCGTATAAGATGACTAAAGAGGAGGGTTTTATCCAGGCAAGGGAATCCATTGTCTGTCTCATCTTGTTCCTGATGTGACCCAAATTAGCAGCCAGCCACGGCTGACGTCAGATTTTTCTTCTCTACAAGTGACTCAGTAACAGAGTAGCTCTTAGTGCCCGAGCTGGACCTGCAGGCTATGTTCTCATTTCTTCATGTGCACATAGATGTGCACACTCAGTACATTAAGGTGCATCCCCTTTGGGAAAGAAAAGGCAAAAATTAGAGCCACTGGGGGCACAGAGAGCTGCCCTCCACCCAGTGGTCTTCAGGCTGGGCTTTGGGCTTCCTATCTTCGGTCAGCAATGATGTGTGTGACCTGGGAGTCACACCTGGCTCACTGCTGTCACCCAGGAGACATTTGGGACAGTGACTGAGAGGGTACTGGGGTGGAGAGAAAACTAAGACTGTAAGGAAGGGCTGAATAACCTTTGACTACCAAGGGATTTCACAGCAACTGTTCTATTGTGCCTTTTTATTGATAAATAACATGCCTTTAAATGGCTGTACCACATTTTATTTATCTATTCATCAGCTGATGAACATTTGGGTGGTTTCTACATTTTGTCTATTATGAATAGTGCTGCTCTTAATATTTGTGTACAAGTGTTTTTGTGAACATGTTTTCATTTCTCTTATGTATATACCTAGAAGTGGAATTGCTGATCATATGGTAACTCTTGTGTTGAAACTTTTGAGGAATTGCCTGTTTCCCTCAGTGACTATACCATCTTATATTCCCACCAACCGTGTATGAGGGTTCCAGTGTCTCCACATCCTCTCTAGCACTTGTTGTCTGCCTGTTTTATTAAAACCAACCTAGTGGGTGTGGAGTGATACTTCATTGTGGTTTTGATTGACATTTCCAATGATGAGCATCTTTTCATGTGCTTATAGCTATTTGTATATCTTCTTTGAAGAAATGTCTATGTAAATTCTTTGCACATTTTTTAACTGGCTTATTATCTTTTTGTTGCTGAGTTACAAGAGTTTTTTAGCTGTTCTGGCAGCTAAACCATTATCAAATGTATGATTTGCAAATATTTTCTCCCATTCTGTTGGTTGTCTTGTGTGCGGTGGGGGGTGGTCTTTTACTTTCTTGATTATGTCTTTTGAAACACAAAAGTTTAAATTTTGGTGATGTCCAGTTTATCTTTTTGATCTGTCATTTTATTACATGTGTAGATTTGCGTAACTACCACCACAGTCAAGATACATAACTCATCCATTACCGAAAGATCGTGTGCTGCCTCATTGTAGTCATACCCCCATAGAGGCTTTTTTAAACTAACATCATACCTTCATTGGTCAGAGAGTCCTTTGTATATGCATGTGTATTTTCATCTTTTAATGTTACTATTTTTTGTCTCATAGGCTGAAACAAGTCAGGGAGCTCTGGGCACACTGGCAAATGTAGTAACCTCCCTTGCCAACCTAAGCGAATCCCTTAATAATGGTGACACTTCAGAAATGCAGCCGGAGGATCAGTCTGCAAGTGAGATTACTCGGTACGAATCCATGAGGGTAGAGGGTCCCCTCCTGACATGCACACTCAGTCACTGCATTGTGAGGGTGGATGGCAGCACTTTGACACCCACCCTGTATTTAATCAAGGATTGTAAAATTATCACATTGTCCCTGCACATCTGTCTCCTTTCACATTTTAACTATGGGAATATGGGCCCACTTATATAAAACAATCAGAATTGCTTTTCATTCCAAACAGTGAAGAAGGACATTGAGTAACTCTGGAAGCAAGGAAAAACTCTTCAGTGGACAGATGTTACTTGTATCAAGTCACTTTTTATTGTGCCTGAGTATTAACAGTTCATCCCCTTTTCCAATTCTGTTTTAGCCTCTTTTTTCAGGTATATTTTTTTCCCAGTAGTGAGTATAGACCTTAAATCCCTCAGGGTAGTTAGGTGTTAGATAGTGTTAACTGGTCCCAGACCCCTGGGACTGGCTGCTAAGGGTGTTTCTTCTCTGCAGCTTGGCTCTTTTGTTCCTTTCCTGTGCAAGTGGCCATTCCTGCCCATCTTACCAGGGCAGGCAGGTGCACCTCTGGGCCACATAAGTGTGCTGGTTCTTATGTTCACTTGTGATCTGATAGCAAAATTTAGATCTGATCCAATATAAAGAGGATAGGATTTGAGTTAGACAGAATTCTGGTTTTATCACTTACTATGTGGGCAATCTTGGAAAAGTTATTTAGCATCCCTAAACCTCAGCTTTTACATCTATAAAATGGAGAAAATTCTGCCTTGAAGAGTAGTTGTAAAAAATAAAAATTAAATGTGAAAATAATAATAGCTTAGTGCCCAATGAGATGTATAGACAATACATAGAAACTTTCATTGTTATTCTGCCCCTCAGCAGGTAGAATTTAATTATCTTTCCCCAGTGCTTTATTTTTATAAATTATGTCTCAGCTAGAGTTCATTTTCCCTAAAAGCTGTGGATTCACACTTGCTTGCTTCAATTTTGCTCACAGGGCATTTGATACCTTAGCTAAAGCACTTAATACCACGGACAGCTCCTCACCTCCAAGCCTGGCAGATGGGATAGACACCAGTGGAGGAGGAAGCATCCACGTCATCAGCAGAGACCAGTCCACACCCATAATTGAGGTTGAAGGCCCCCTCCTTTCAGACACTCATGTCACATTTAAGGTAGGTGTGTTAAGCCTGACCACGTTCCCCAGCCTGCTGGGAGAGGGCCTTTGTATCAGAGCTGGTCTCAGTTTAAAAATCAAACCTTGGAGTGAGCTCATTTTCTGTTATGGCATTTTTATCAGAATATTGTATTCTAGAATTATATTCCCATTATGAAGCATCTTCACTCATCTTTTGCTCGCAGTGGCGTTTGGCTCTGAAGGTAGTCCTGACAGGCTGATGGTAGTAGTGCTGACTGCTGTGCCTTCTATCTTCTCATGGTGGTCTGGCTCCCACACAGGCTGAGGCAGGCGGTTTGGTTGCTCTAAAAGCAGCCAGCCAGCCCTCATTCCCACCCATCAGTCCTGACCACCTGCCCTCTAGAGCTATAGAAAGTAGATTTCAGGTATCCTTGAAGGGTCCTGTGAGGTCCCCATGGTATTCCCCTTTACTTTCCTCCACCAGCCTCGCTTCTGCAGGATACTCATAGCGTCCCTGAAGCCCTCTTAGTCTCTAGGTCTCCAGACTGAGTCTTCCTGCGCCCTCAGCGTTCTTTACTAGAGAGATATGGCTGGTCATTTAGGAAGATTGGATCCATGCTTGCAATTGCCTAACGGTGCTGAGGACACAGATCACCAGTGGGATTCAAGTTTCAAAGGCATTAGAGCTCTTTCTAGACAGTGGAGTTCTGGAGTCCAGGCCTGACATTCTGGTGGTGGGATATTATTTTCCTACCACCTGGGCTTCTTTTCACCTCTCACTGTTGCCTTGAGGCCACCTTCCAAATGTCTGCTAATCCAGGAAGTTGCCCCTTTTTCCCAATTTGATTTAGACTTTAACCTATGGCTCAAAATGGAATTGCCTTACAGCAAACAATATAATTGGGGCAAAAGTTGAAAAGTATGTCTTTGCATGAATAAGCTGAGAGGTCCCATCATTCCACACTCTGAGGGCCATCAAACCCTTGTTAACTGGGCAAGAAACTATGGGGAACTGGTGACAGCACCCCCTACAGAGGACACTCACTTCGTAGGAGGATGGGTCCACACAAGAGCCTCAATATCAAAGACAGCAACTCTGGCTGCCATGATACTGAAACGCAACAGGGATTTGTATTGACAGACCAAGTCATCCCGTCCTCCGTCACATCCTGTGCTCTGTACCTTCTCTTCTCCAGCTAACAATGCCCAGCCCAATGCCAGAGTACCTCAACGTGCACTACATCTGCGAGTCTGCATCCCGCCTACTTTTCCTCTCCATGCACTGGGCCAGGTCAATCCCAGCTTTTCAGGCACTTGGGTAAGTAGCTTTTTTCTCTGGGAATCCTCCAGCAAGGGTCTTCCTCTCTCTAGGAGTGGCCTGGAAGTTCTCTGAGGGCCCTTCTAGTTTGTTCCTGTGTCCTGATTTTCTTATTAAATACAGTCAGTGGGCTGGTAGAAGGGGTCCATGGTTGCTAATGCTTCAGTGTTCCTTAAACCTTTATCAAGCCTCCTCCATGCTAAGGACTTAGAGCTAGCAGCTGGGGGTGGAGTGGAATAGAGGCAGGAGTCACTCAAAATCTGCAGATAAGTAGGGGCATGCTGCATCTGGGGTCATCTGAGAGCATCTGGGATAAGGACAGACTGTTGCAGTGCACCAGCCATGTCATCCTAAGTATAAATTACCCAAGGCAGGGCTGAAAGCTGACTTGTATAGCCCCTTCCTCCCCGACTACAGTCCTAGCTCCTCCTCTGCAGAGTTTCAGGCCCTCAGATCCTGAGCCTAGATGTAGGGCATGTCACCTCCCTTCAGAGTCTACACTGACCTCTTAGTCCTTTTATTACTACATCCTTTCATGACAGCTGTGTCAGGATAGCTGCAGATTTAGATGACTGTAGTAAATGATGGTTTAATCATATTTATTAAAATTTCTCATTACCAAGTTCAGAGAATCTTTTTTAAGAGAATAGTTTGTCCTCTGAGGGACTTAGGACACTGCCATCTAAGATTCTTAGAAAGTGATCCTGGATGTACTATTTAGACCTTCAGAACACACTTGCTGAATCCACTTGTTTGGGGCATGCTGGGTTTGAGAAGGGCCAGTTCACAACTGCACCCACACTCTCACCTCTGTGTTCCCAGGCAGGACTGCAATACCAGCCTGGTACGGGCCTGCTGGAATGAGCTCTTCACCCTTGGCCTGGCCCAGTGTGCCCAGGTCATGAGTCTGTCCACTATTCTGGCAGCCATCGTCAACCACCTGCAGAACAGTATCCAAGAAGGTAGGGCTGGGACATGGGGGAGTACACCTCTGGCTAAGCTGGCCCATTGCAAATTGGCTAGCCTTAGTGTTCCACACGATTCATAGGCTGACAGAGGTTTAACTTTTAAGTAATAAAAGTTAGAACCAGTTAGAACATTTAAATTTCTTCCTGATTGCCTTTTTTCATATAATGAATATGAAAGAGGAGAAAAAATAATTGAAAAAAGTTAGCAGCTTCCCACTACATAGACATGTAGTGATGTTTTCAGAATAATCATAATTTATGTTTTCACCTTCATTAACAGGTAACCCTTTTTATGTGTAGTATTTTGCAAATCCTCATAACCCTATAAAGTAGAGACTATTATCTCAGTGTGACATATGGAGAAACTAAGGTCCTGATAAGATTCCTGGCTTGACCCAAGTGAAACACCAAGTAGAAGAGCTGAGGCACCAACTTAGGTCATGCAAACCCCCGATCCAGGACAGTTACCTCACCCAACTCCTTGTGAATGAACAAATGAGACTGTTCTAAGACCTGTGGCAACCTTCTAACATTAGGTGGTCAGATCCCAGTGTATCAGGACTGGGAGATAGCCAATGCAGTCTGTCCACATACTGCTTGTTCTCAATACACCGAAGACATTGTCTAGGTGGAAGATGCCCAGAGCTTGAGACTAAACTGACAGTCTCGCTTGAGCTGAATGGGAATTCAGCGGTACTTGTCATTGAGCATTCCAAGTGTATGACACCCGGCAATGTGAGTTACCCAGTCACATCTTTGTAGTTATTCTTTTGGAATAGTTACAAAAAGGTGATTTTTAAAACCCTGTAACACTTTGAATTGAAGTGAGATTTGTTCACAAGTAAGCTTTTAGTTTTGTTTATTTTTAACTGAGTACATACTGATACCATTCAGCAAAATATTGTCATGGTGATTAAATCAGATAACATACAGAGTTGTTTTGACAACTAAAAAATGCCAACATTTCAGGTTGGCAGATATTTAGTAAATGCCGGCAGAAACTTAGAAAACCTAACCATGGATAAGAACGCATATACAGGATAAGCACAGAATAAAAGAAATGACCAATTTATACTACAGGCTGAAGGTGCTGCCCAGGGTGTGGCTGGGAAGAATCACTGTCCCAGAGGTTCATTATTGAGGCATTATGTAGAAGAGTGGAATTGGGGTACCTGTTTTCACTTCACCTTCAACTGGAAAGTAAAGCTCTTGACTATCTTGAGATAACTGGATTTTCATTAAAACATGACATTATTCTCTTTTCACCCCCCCTCAAAGAAGCTTGTGTTATTGTTCTTATTAGCCTTTCTTAAGGAATCTGTGATGTTGATTTCTAGATAAACTTTCTGGCGACCGGATAAAGCAAGTCATGGAGCACATCTGGAAGCTTCAGGAGTTCTGTAACAGTATGGCAAAGCTGGATATAGACGGCTATGAGTATGCATACCTTAAAGCTATAGTTCTCTTTAGCCCCGGTAAGATATGCAGTGGTGGTGCATGACTGTATTCCACCTGTGTCTACTGATGTTTGGGAACATGAGTGTGTTGTAAAGTCATCAGCAGTGGAGAGAAGAGCCCTGCCAGACTGTGACTAAATGTTTTCATAATAGGTGTGCTTTGCTAGCTTACATAAATACATTCTTTTGAATTCTTGCCCTGACAGTCCCAAAGAAATGGCTTTATATACCAAATAGATTTAATCTGTATCCTAATTAAACCATTGGTCAAATGGGGCTACAGCATACAAAATAGAGTGTTCTACCATCCTGTGTCCTTTTTGTTTGTTTTGTTTTGTCCTTAGGCAGTTTTCAGGTTCTGTAAGCATATATAACCCAGTTCAGGTAGAAACTGCCCTAGTTTGCCCATAGTCCTCTGTGGAAGGCAGTGGCAGCAGCTACCTCAGGGCACAGGAAAGACTATGGTCACAGCAGGTGAAGAAGAGTCAACAGGACTGTTGATGGAAAGTAAGAGACAGCTGGGCTGGCCTCATTCACTATCCCTCGGCTCTTAGGCTATCTTGGAACATCCTGAGAAGTCCCTTGTGTGACTATTGACCTTACCATTGTGCTCAACAGCTGAGGTTGTACACAGCTTAACCTTTCCCTTCCTCCCCAACGCTACACTCAAAAACAACAAAATAGCTAATAAAAATGATAGAAATTGCCCTGGCTGCTATGACTCAGTGGATTGAGTACTGGCTTGAGAATCCAGAGGTCACTGGTTCATTTCCCAACCAGGGCACATGCCAGTTTGGGGGCGTGCAAGAGGGAGCTCGTCAGTGTTTCCTTCTCTTCCTCCCTCCCTTCCTGTCTCTCTCAAAATAAATAAAAGTACTTTTTTTAATGGGAGAAATTAGGTGATTAACTATTGAGAAAATAAGGTTCTAATTTCATGTGATAGTTTTAAAATCGATGTGTTTTCTAGAGTAGTAGGAAGTCAGATGTCCAGAACCAGCAGTTGGGGCCTCTGAGGCTGGAATGACTACTCGAGAGCCCACCTGCCTCCTGCCTTGGCTAAGCACAGGAAAATCCCATAATACCCAGACCCAGTCAGTCTTCAGAGTTCAGGCTGTTGTGCTTGAGAAATTTATTAGAAGTTTGATTAAAAATAAGTACTAAGAAATTAGTGAGGCTTTCTGAATACAGATGGCAATTTGTGGGTACTTTTCTCTTTTCAGATCATCCAGGTTTGACCAGCACAAGCCAGATTGAAAAATTCCAAGAAAAGGCACAGATGGAGTTGCAGGATTATGTTCAGAAAACCTATTCAGAAGACACTTACCGGTGAGATGCACAGGCACATGCTCTTGGCTTGGGGTAGGGAGTAATGCAGCTGGATCTGTGGTTGCAAGTATAAGTTATGTTAGCCTTTCCATTTCTAGCAGCCTGGTAAAGCCTGCATTTGATTACATTTTAATTCCTACATTTTATAGGTGGTAATGGAGTGTGGAAAGTGCCAGGAGGAGAGAGTCAGGAATAGCAGGCCATCCCAGTGTTGCCGAGTAACTGGGCATTGACACCTTGGGTTGCTCCTCTGTGATTTGGGGGTTAGAGCCGAGGCTATATGATCTCCTCTGGGGCTAACATTATTTATGAGTCATGAGTCCTCAAGGAGACACCCCTTGCCCAGAACAGTTCACTGGAAGTTCTGCTCCTCTGGTCCTCATCCACTCAAGAGGCAATGCTAGACTACTTGACAGAAAAGTTTTCATTGATAGGAACCAAGTCTGACCCCTATAAAGTAGTGAGTGGGATGTATAAAATAGTAATTTTACTCCCAAACTGACTTTAAAAGTCCCTTTATTTGGGTGAAAGTTAATTTGTATTATTTGTAAGGATAGATATATACAGATATAGGGGGGGATGTGTGTGTGTGTGTGTGTGTGTGTGTGTATAGATATAGATATATATGCACCTTTCTCATGCAGACTTGAACTGGAGAGTTGTTCTGAAACAGGGCAGAATGCCTGACAGTCTTTCTGGCCAAGGAATGGAACAGCTCTTTCCCCATGACCACTTCCAACCCACTGGAGGCTACATGAATTTCTGGGGCCCTAACAAGCAAATTATTTAGTATTTCCCTCCCCATCCTATGCCCTCAAAATAAATGCTGCATCAGGGGAAGCAGCCTGGCTCCACCTTGCCCAATTTCTCAGCCCCAGGAGAACCATTTCTCTGGGGTGATTGGGCGGGGAGTAGGGAGGAATCTGTAGCTGCTCCTGCTGGCAGAGAACCTACCTGTGATTCAGGCACGCCCCCCATGGCTTACAGGCAGCTTTTGCCAAAGCAAGTTCCACTGTCTAGTGGGATCACTGAAGACCTCACCAGGAATCTAGAATATCTTGAACCTCAATACATACAGAGTGAGATTGTCAAGCAATGTACCCATACCAGAACTTAGCATCCAACCAGGTGTGAAGTCAAGCTGTCCCCTGACGAGGCACTGGGCCTAGTCCCACACAGTGCCTACAGCCAGAAGAGGCTGAAAATGCCCATCTGAGGGCTACTGGCAGAGCCACAGCATACTAGGATCACCTTGACAATAGCAACTCTCTCGTCTTTAAAGTAGATGTTCTGAAAAAGTCCTGAGTCACTCCTTTTCTAGTCTGGGACCCTGGAGGAGAAGCGGGCAGGCCAGGTGATTTGGGACCAAAAATGAGATGAGAGGCTTTGTCATAGGATTCAGAAACTCAAAGACATTTCCCAAAGAACAGCCCTAGAGTGGTTTTACATCTGCTTATACATTCATTTTTTTTTTTCAGTCTTTCCCATTCTTACGCTTTTTCTCATACTGTTTGTTTCTCCTGAAATACCCTCTCATTCCTCCCCATTCTTTACATCTCTGCTGATAGGCATTTTAGCCAGCCTCTAAGGCCTAGCTGAGATGTGGCATGCTCCAGAAAGTCCTCCTTGATTTGTCTTTGCTGGCTTCCTGACACCCTGCAGCCGCTGGCCAACCACTCCAGGTCTGTGGTGGTGTACCCTTACACCTTTGTGCGCCCTGCAAGACTCACGGTGGCTGGGTGAATGGATGATGGGCTGGAATGCTGCTTGCATAATATTAATATATTTCCCCTTTTTAAAAATAATATATGTTCATTGTAGAAAAAGTTTATTCTGGAAAGCAAAAAGAAAACTTTTAACTCTGTGTAAATACCACTTTCTAGAGATACCTGTTAATGTTTTATGTATTTACTTCCAGAAGTTTTTTTGTATATGTAATTGGAATCATAAAATACAAAGATTTTGTAACCATTCTTTAAAATTTAATATTCAATGAGTATATACTCTTCTTCATCAATAATTTAATATTCAATGAGTATACGTATTCTTCATCATTTTCTGTGGCTGAAGAGATGCTGTAATTTAACATTTCCTGCTGATAAGAATGTAAGTGGTTTCCAGACTGCACTGCATGTCCTTGCACACACTGCTGTGTGTACTGGCTGTGGAGTGGCTTCCAGGGGTGTCCAACCTCTTGGCATCCCTGGGCCACAATAGAAGAGGAGTTGTCTTGGGCCACACATTAAATACACTGCAACACGTAATCACAAAAAAAAGTCTCATTATGTTTTAAATAAATTTAGTTTTTTGTTGGGCCGCAGGTTGGACACCCCTGCAGTTTAGACAGTGTCCCATGACCCTCCAGGACAGGGTCATGGTGTGCCCTCCACCCAGGGTTTCTTCAAAACAAAAACAATTTTATTGCTTTATTTTAAATTATAATGTTAAATGAATACTGGAAATTAGGGCAATACAGAAAAAGTTTTAATATGTAAAATCACTCCAAATTTCGGGAACCAGAGGCCAACCATTCGCATTCTGGGACATATCCTCCTGAATACTTTTTATGAATGTGCACAAAATAAATACACACAAGTGTGATTGTGCTGTACTTGCTGCTTCACAGCCTCCTTTCAAGTTTCTGTTCAGCTACATGTCATGGACTTCTTTCTTTATCAATGAATTTGGATCTTTATTACACTTTTTAATGAGTATGTATTGATCCGTTATATGAAGACACCATATTTCTTTTAACCTGTCCTCTATTGATCAATTTCCCCATTTTTCTTTTTGGCGAGGAAGGAGAGAGCTGTCATAAACCCATGAAGGGAACATATTTGTACATGTATCTCTGCACTCACTTCTTTGACTTTTTTTTTTTCCTCATGATAAACTACAAGAGGAACTGCTGAAATCAGAAAAACAAGAGGTGAATAGTGGATGGATCTGTTGTTTGGTTCAATTCTGAGCAGTGTAGATAGGGTCCCTGGGAGCCTGTCCAGGACAAAGTCTGAAGGGCAGCAAACCCCCCGCTTTCTCTAATGACCCTCCCTCTTACAGATTGGCCCGGATTCTCGTCCGCCTGCCAGCACTCAGGCTGATGAGCTCCAACATAACAGAAGAACTTTTTTTTACTGGTCTCATTGGCAATGTTTCGATAGACAGCATAATCCCCTATATCCTCAAGATGGAGACAGCAGAGTACAATGGCCAGATCACCGGAGCCAGTCTATAGTGCACACCACACGCCTGCTGAGGAGCAAAAGGTTCCTCCGGGACTGCTCAGAGACAAAGAAAATGAAGTAGTAGTATTTTGGTATGTGCAAATATTTCCAATATGTTCATCACTTCCTAGCTGGTTTCTTCTTATCTGTTAATCCCAGACAATAGCAACTAAAAGACTAGTAGTATCCTTTCCTACCATAAGAAATGTTTAATGCCTTTTGATGAAGCAGATTTTGGAGTAATCTTTTAACTCAATTTGTATTTAGAAATTCTCAAAGGGCAAAAAACAAAGTTTTATAATGTCAGAGACTAGTATGAAAACTAAAAGAACTTAAGAGAACAGTATGTGTGTATATATATTAAAAATGTCCTTGGAATTAATAACTACTAATTACCAGGGTAATAATATTAGCACTTTCTAAGCACTTCTTATCGATGCATAATGTTAGCAACATCTTGTCTATTCATGGGCAAATGGAAAACTGTATACATCTTTTGCCGAAATGCTAATGATTTCTGTGAAAATGCAATAGGGTACAGGAGACAATCATTTAAGTTTAAGACAAGAAGGCATCATTCCTAACTATATGCACACATAGATGGTATTGAACTAAATTCCTGCAAGCAAATGAAAATGTGTCTTATCTGTATCATGCAGTAAGTGGGAGTGCACTAGCAAGTCAGTAGTGACCCAAATCAAAAGCTTCTTCAGTCAGAGCTGATGCTTGTCACGTTCCCTGACCTCTGGTCCTTGTCTGTGACAGGCATCTGCAGGCTCCTCCAAACCTGGGCATCTTCTGATGACTGGTTCTCAGAATTGGATTACTACCAGTCAGACGTTAACTGCCATTTCCTGCAGCAATTGACAGTTTGGGCATTTTGAACTCAGGATAGTAGCACTTCCTGAATACAACCTGGGGAGACTGTGGTTTTCAGATGGGGGGATGTGGCCTCCCTGGAGTGTGAGGGTTTCCCTCTGGGGTTTCTATTCCAAATGCCCCTTGAGAAGAGCCTATGTTCCTGCAGTTTAGTACTACTATGGGGATGGGGATATGTGTACAGGATCTTGCTGCCTGGCTAGAGCAGTGGTGGTAAAGCTGAATGGAAGGATTCTCTATTGACCTTAAATATCAGAGTCTTTCAGAATGTCTCCAGACTCAGCATCTCTGTTGGCAAGGCTCTTAATGGTACTGGCCCACCATGCACTTTGATTCCCCCAGGTGTGTGCCAGCATACAAACCCTGGAGCATTTAGATGATGGATACAAAAACAGGCTGCCTGCTCCTTAAAAATGACCATTAGTTCCTAAAGTTATCTTTCTCATAACTTGGAGTAACCATTGTTTACAAGAACAGAATATGGTTATAAGGAAATTCTATCTAGAGAAGAGCACCCATAAATTCCCATGGATGTGAGTTACAGCGAGCATTTCCTATTTGGGAAAATTAGTATGCCCAAGACAGAGTCACATATTTTGCATTTTCTTTTTATATAGCCCACAATAAGAAATTACAATGTAAGGTTAAGTTTCTGTCTCTTAAATCTTTTGATCAGATGGTATCCAAGAAGATCCCAATGCCCCCTGCCTACCAGGCACTCTCTAGTCTGGCTAGGGCATCAGTCAAGGTGGGTACTTTGTGAGCTGTGTGTGGGTTACAGCAAAATGGGATGTTTTATTCTGAAGTGTATTAATAGCACTTTATGAAAGTCATTAGTGAGAATTAAGTGGGGACAGTCTCTCCAATTCTAAGTTCCAGTTTGGATTTAATTATTAATAATCCATGCCTTGGAAGCAAATTTTGGAAAATAGTGAGGGTGTCCATTAAAAAATGATGGAAAGGATTTAATCTTACCAGCATAAAGTTTTGGTTTTCTAACTCTGAAGTGATACTAAATTTCAAAATTAGAACAAAAAACTGGCCAAGACACTGGAATTAGGGCAGGTCTGTATCATTTCTGCTTGTAAAAGGTTTTAGCAGAGGGCATTTTGAAACATGTTCATATATCTTACACAGCAAATTGTCTTCTTTCTTTGATTTTTAAAAGCAAGCATGTCTGTTACCACATTGTGGCTCCCTGGAAATACATATTGTGTCACATCTTTCAGATCTTAAGATCTTAGTTCTCCGCGTTGGTGAACAGGTCCGCATTGGCCAGCTTCCTCATTCCCAGGAGCAGTCCCTCGGAGTCCTGTCTTTCAGGCTTTTAGACTCTGGTTGCCTTAAGATACAGGGCAGCTTAGCAAAGACCTAGGCTGCAATCCTGACAGAGCCACTGCTTAAAAATGTTGGGAAGAGGCGATAACCAGCAGGACAGTGAACTCTTGGATAGGGAAGTGCCACAATCCAGCAAGACAGCCCTGGAGAAAAGTCTATTTAGCTTAGGAAGTTGCTAATTCTAACCTCGTCCTCTTCCTTGAGTCCCTTCACTAGCAGTGGCTGATTCCAGTGGACTGTTTTGGGGTTGAGCATTCCTCATTAGTTCCTAGATCCTGTTGGCCTTACCGTGCAGTGGCCTCTTCCTTAAGGATCAGGTCCATACAATCTGAATTCTCGCCACCCCAAATCATTTCAGGCATTTGACAGCAGGTCTATTCCATCTCTTGTCAAATTGGTTAAAAGAAGTAAGGTCAAGAATTATTTAAAGGGATCCCAAGCAGATATTTGGGCTCAACTTTCACAAATCTTTTTTAACCTGTTAGTAGTTTCAAACTCTAGATTTAGTGAAGTAAACCAGCCCTCTGCCTACTGAATCTCTGAGAGAAATAAGGCAGGAGCAGGATTCTTTGCCATGTAGCCTATTCAGACATACCCTTCTGCTGGCCTAGCCAGTCCTTCCTCAGTGAGGAGAGGTACACTGGCTAAGGGAGATGGGGACAGATATACACGGTTGCTCTGTGATGAAGTGGGCTCTTTTCCACTGGTACCTTAGATACTGTGTTGGACAGGTATGTGTTGAAATTTGTAGCTTTCATTACATATAATCATAAAAACAGGGCAGGAAGAAACTTAGAATAAGACCAAATTACCCACACAAATACCACTTTCCAAACTATTCCTGGAAAGTATTTTTAAGGAAGTATGTTACCACCCTTCTAATTTGAGATTTCTGTGTTTATTGGGAGTTACATTATTTATTTTCTTATCTCTGTGGTTGGGGTTCTTTTTGTTTAGGTTTTATATTTTAATTTCAAGTGTAGTCACTTGTGAGATGTGTTATATAATACCCTTCAAGAGGGATTTTCCAGCTTGTTACTATCAGTATTAAATGTGGACTCTGTTCTGAGGCAGTTGCCACCAGTCATACTGATAACAATGGACATGTCTACTCTGGGCTCCCCAATGTGGCAGCAGTGCACAGACTAGAGCTTACTTAGCAGTTTTGCTTATTTTGAGGATAGCCATGGTAGGGAGCCAAGAATTAGAAGGGCTCTAGCTGTACCTAGTGCTTTTATTTTGGGAAAACCACATCCTGATCCTATGGGGGTTTCCAGGAGCAGCCTCATTCCCTGCCTGCTCTCTGCCTGACAAGCAGCCCTTGGCTGTGGATCCAAGTTTACTATGACTTGGTTAGATTAGTCGGGAAGTACATGGCCTCCTTTCCAGTGGAAATGGCCTTTCGTGCAGTGGGGTTACCTGTAGGTGACATTGTCACTCTTCTGAGCCCAAGTCATGAAAAGTATCATTCGCTTTTATCTCAGGAGGTCAGTACCCTTTAGATCCTGGAAAGGTTTGAACAGGCAGAATGGATGACCCCATGCTTGTCTCACTTCCATTCCCTAGATTGTGTGACTCTCTGAAAATGTTTTAACTCTGATGTGAGTTTGTAATTGAGACAGAGTGGGTATGGGTATCTTGTATACGGGGCTCTGGATCTCCCTACGTGCCTCTCATCAGCATGGCATGTCTGTGTCCAGCCCTGAGCTCCCCCCAGCGCATTGTGCGTGTACAGATTTATAGGCTTGTATGACTGAACGAATGTACATGTGTTTATATCTTCTATATATGTACAGTGTATATAGTGTGTATGTGTACATAGATGTATATTATGTATACAGACAGGTAGCCACGTATCCAAACTCTCCTTGTTTTAAAGAGAATCTATGATAAGAGTTGCTGAAGTAAATTGATGTGGGTGTTCCAAGGTCCCTCAGCAGGATGGATTTGCTGAGATTTTTACTCCATTTTCCTTTGGATGGTCTGGCTGGGAGAGGCCATGAAGTCAGAATTTCCACTCTGTACCAGGGAAAGTTCCAGACAGAAAAAGTCCTGACAGGGTAACACTGCTATGTGTTCTCTAGGGTCAGACAAGGGCTAGGAAGCTGGAAGATAATTTATCCTAATGTGCAAAAACTAGGTGGGGATCTTTAACCTGGTTTTCACACACCTACTTATGGCCTAACTGGAAGGAACTTGGTAGCTCAAGCTATTGGCATTCCCAGAGACTCGTTGTCATGTGGTCAGTTTCAGAAATTTGTGTCATGGGGCCTGGCTCCCAGTGTTGTAGCAATTTCCCCACTTGCTCTGGACTCAGCAGACAGTGGCACTGCCCTGTGAGTAAACAAATTCCTGTCTAACTCCAGTTGCAAAAAAAACAAAAAACAAACAGCCTACCAGGTCTTTAAAAATAAGCATAAATATTGATGGCTTACTTTATGGCATATGTTACAAATCTTAAATTATTTCTCCAACTATAGCATGTGAATGAAATCCACTGACTTCTCTAAATTATGATTTTTAAATTTCAGATACAATTTTCATTTTAATATGGATATGTAGGCCCTTAAAGCTACAGGTGCCAGATTTTCCTTGTTCAGGTGTATTCTGGTGATTTTTTTTTTCCCCTTAAATCGGGCTTTAACTGAGACACAGCACTCGGAAACCAGGGCTCAGCCCAGCAGTAATTGCCTGTGGACCTGGTAAGCACAGGGGGCCTGACTGGCCAGGAAGGTTGAAAGCTGGCCTGCTGAAAGAAATCACTGGATAACTGCAAAAACTTAATCCATGGATTGCTTTTTTTTTTGTTGGAATGTTTGAAAATACTTCATTGAGACCATGTATTCAGTGCCTTTTGTAAGACTGGGCCATTCAGCCTCCAGCTTCCCCATCTGTGATGTAAAGAAGCTCTGCTGCTTCACTGGCCTCCCAGCAGTGATTGTCACCTTTCCCATGTCTTTGCCTGTTGTGACAATCACTATTGAAAGTAGCTTTCCAGTTCAAGTAACAGAAATGGAAGTTTGACAGTCTCTAAATGAATCTTTAAAAAAAAAATTTTCCTTCGGAGCTATTTATCCTAGCAGCAATCTAAAAATAAACTGAGACCTTTTAAAAAAATATCTTGGGGTAGGGACTGTCTGAGATGTTTTTAGTGCCCCGCTATACTTTAAGCAGACAGTAATTTTGGTGTCTCAAAATGTATACATACAGCATAGAAAAAAGTGCTATAAAAAAATAAGTGCTGAAAAAAATGCTCAGCAACATTTATCAGTTGACAGACTGTGATAAAGCTTAATTAATATTTGGATAACATTTGGATGTAGACTTTACATGAAAAATGGCTTTTCTCTAGGAAAGTTTAATCATTTTAACCACCAGAACATTTATGGACTCAAATGCTGCTGCCACATACAACTCAAGTGCTGGAATATTTTTCTATATCCTCCCAATTATCTTGTAAACCAGTGTTCAACTAGTTTTATAACTGAAAAGCTGCACATTTTTTCATAGTACAAGACCATAGTTTTTACCTGTAGTTTGGACCTCTGTTTAAATGTAGCTAAGTACTACCAGCCCTTTTACAAGACGTCTGTTAAAGGAAAATTCGGGTGTTAGATTTTCTTGGGACCGTTTCTGTAACCTCCGCCCTTCCTAATACAGAAAATATTGTTTATGCCATTACATTTTAATTCCAGGTTTAAAACCTGTTGAAAGCTGTAGCTTGAAATCAGCTTTGTTTATGTGATGGCATTTAAAAATAGCATGTTCTTTTTAAACTGAATTTTATATCTAATCAATGTCTTCAGTCTTGAAGAAGAATTTGCATTGTTGTGTTTGTATATAGAGTATTGCAGTGCATGAATTAGCTTTATGCATTTTATTAAATGCTCTTTCAATGTGGCATTATTGTTGTGGCTTAATACTACTACCTAAATGAGGTTTATACTATTAAAAGTTAATTGAAGACTAATGTGCATCCTGCTCATCATTTTTCCTCATAATAGTAATAACAATAATGCCTGACCCCCAGAAGTCCCCAGAGCACTCTCACCTAAACTTCTAGTAGGTGGTGAGGGAGCACCCTAGTCAAAACCCTGTAGCTCTCACCTCACCTTAGCCTTGGCCATAAGCTACTTAGCCCTGTCCACATTCTGGTCCCCTGGACTTATGTTTCTGGAGCAGGGCTTGGGCTGCCAGACCTCAAAGACTGCTATCACAGACATGAACAGCCAGGCCTCAGACCAAAGTAGACATGTTAAAGTCTCAGAAGTCATCTGGCCTCTCATTTTTCAGGTGAGGAGTCTGAGGTCCAAAGTCAAGATTCTTAGTAGAACCTACTGGTAGCCAAATAGCTTTAAGTAGCTTGGCAAGGTAGTACTCAAAATAAAATTGGTCACTTTAGCAGAACAAGATCAAAAACCATCTGGCAAACATTGGTTATGCAAATAAAATTAAGAAACGTCAATGAAAATCTTCACAGCAATCTTCTCTAATAATTTTCTCCCATTTCTGTACATTTTAAACCCATCTTTTATCATCATTAAAGTAGGAAATGGAAAACAAAAGGTTTAAGAGAGATACGCCCCACAGTGGTGTTCATTTCCATAATCACTATCTGCAATATATGAAAACAGCGCATGCAAACAGTAACAGTGGCACTTTCCCACCAGGCACTGGACACTTACTCTCTCTAAAGCAGGGTCACTAGCTTGGTTCAGGGCAATCCTGGCTACGTATCTTTCTGGACCCTGTGGGCCATGGAGGGAAGGAATACTTCCATAAGGTTTTTTGTCCCACCAGCTGTGGAGAGACCAAAAGGAACAAACTCCAAAGGGCCTGGTGGCCCAGGAGAAGGCCTAGGAGAAAACCCAGTCAGCTGGGGTGTGAAGGCCATGCTGCAACCAGCCAGGTGGGATTATTAGAAGTACTGCAGAAACTGAACCTAGCACCCACAAAAGGGGTTAGAATGGAGTACAGATTTTCCTAGACACCCTCCAAAATGGTGATGGGGGTGAAGGCACCAAGATTTTGAATTTCAGTTGAACAAAATTGAGTAAGCCTGCCAGTTAGTTACACAGTAGATCCACACACCCACTTCCCCCCCCCCGCCCCCAATCTCCTCCAAGCTATCACCCTGAACACAGGTATGGTACAGAATCACAGTAAACCATAACTTGAGCATCAAATGTAAAAAGAGCCAGATTTCTCAATTTAATGGGATAATCTCCAACATTCAAATAAAACATTCTAGTTTCACATCATTTCCCACAGCTCATTACTTTGTGGGGTATAATGCCGTTATTCCCATTTTACGGTGTTAGACCTTGACCAAGGGAGTCTCCCATTAGAGAGGAACCCGGACCTTAAACCTGTCCTGAGCCCACCTTCTTGCTGCACACCGTTGCGCAGTCTTCCAGTCTGTGCTTCCACAAGTCTGTAGTCCAGCTGGTCCTTCACTTTTAACCAAGTAAACTTACGCTTACAGTGACCCTGGAGGGCTTTGGTGTCTCCTAAGGGCTAAAACCAGTACAACTGAAGTGTCAGAAATATCAGTGTCCTGAAGAGGCAAGAACTATTCAGGCAGACCTTCTTCCAAACCTTAAAGCAAGAACTGAATGAGCCAAGAAGGTGAACTGAGAGGCAGGCCCCAACACCAGTCCCTCAGGGAAGGGCCCAGAAGTCAGTCAGTCAGTGCCTCCTTTCCTCCTTCATGGTCTGTAAACCTGCCTGCTATGGGGCATGGGGCTGGGACTACAGGGACTGGCAGTGGGTGGCTCACCGGTGGGTGCACTCCTAAGGGAGGCTGGTCTGTCCGCTGGCCACTGGGGCCTCCTGCATCTCTGGCATGCCCACAGCCAGGCCTCTCAGGAGGACAGGGTCAGTTGGCTTTAGTTTTAAAAGTGAGCACTGCACAGCTTTGCCATGAAATTTCTGAAAAATAACCAGAGTCTGAACGGAGGAGACATCCACTCTGTCAGCCACAGATGCCTTCAACCACACTCAACCACAGCAACTCTTAATTCTCCAGAGCAGAGTCTGGAAGAGGAGTCAAAACCACTGAAGATCAGGAAAAGGCCACAGGGTCAACACAGGTTGACAGGGTGATGTCAACGCGCTGTGCCCTTAACACCCTAATCCCAAAGCCCCATTCCCATGCAGGTCCTCCTCCTCATGCCTTTCAGACTGGATACACACCATGCTGCTGGAGTGATTAAGGAGCATTTTATTTGCACAGACTCGGGACAGAGCCAAGGGCTTCCCTGTGGCCAAGGTAACCCTCGCCCACAGGCCTGGGGCCTTAGTCCTGGGCATTAGCTTTCAGAGCTGCTTTGTACTTCCCTGTCATCTCCTTGGGTAGCGGCACCAGGGCCGGGCAGGGCACCTGCCCTTCCACCTCACAGATGCATTCCCGCAGGCAATACTTTCGAGGTCCAAAGTGAGCTGGATGAGAAAGCTGCTTTTTCTCCTGCTCCTCTTTCTTGAGGGTTGCCCTACCAAGGAGCACAGAAGCAACAAGGTGTTGGCAACATTGCTCTGATCCTCTGGAAGCACAGGACTTCTCAGAGTGAACCCCACCATCTGCCAGGGAGAACTGGATCCCCTATGGCTAGCTTGTCTCCCAGCCCCCAAATCCATCCCTCACCAGAGGTGCGGCCTTCAACCTGTGGGCAGTGTTAAGCCTCTGGGGAGGAGGTCACTGGAGAAGCACACTTCGCCCCAGGGCCACACAGCAATAGTCAGCCTTCAACAGATAGCCAGGGGCAGCCCCATTTCTGACTGTGGGACAAGCAGGATGAAAGGGCTTCTGTGTGCTTTCTCAGACATTCCTGCCTTCCCTCCCTTTCCTCTCCTCACTGAAAAGAAAAGGACATGTCACAGCAGGCCCTGGGGTTGAACACCCACTATCTCCAAGCTGGGGCATGTTTATGGCCACACAAAGCAGTATTTTAGGTGCATCTCTGCTTCCCACTGACCTCCGGAGGAAGGGATGTTGTTTATCCCCACTTCGTAATGGGAGGAGTTATAATAAGCTCAGAGGCTCAGTGACTTACAGTCACACATCTGGTGAGCAGCAAAGCCAAATGCAACAGACTCTCCAGGTGAGTGTCTGACTCGCTGTCAGAGAGCCTGTCCTCTTGACACCCCTCCCAACACATCCCTTTCCCCTCTCTCCAAGTATCTGGGCTAGGATATTTCCTCCCTCCATATCAACCCCAGCAACTCACTCATTCTTCCCCAGGATTTTTTTGATGTGCTCCATGATCTCTGTATTGCTCTTGGTCTCCACATCCACAAGAACCTGCTCACCAGAATCTGGAAACAGGAAGTAAAGAGGCAGGGTGGGGAGGGGAGACCTGAGAACTTGGAATTGCGCTCCTCAGCCTCAGATGGTAGTGATTTGGAATTTGCTTTTAGTGGAGAAATACTTTTAACCGTAAAGTAATTCTATTTGTTTACATAACCCATAATTTACTACCCTTTTACCATATTTCTTTAAACATGAGTGAACACATTTTAGGCATGCACAAAAGCTTACTATTTTAATAGAAATTCCATGTTCATGGATAGAAAGATTCAGTATCGTTAACATGGCAATCCTCCCCAAACTGGTCTAAATTCAAAGCAATCTCCATCAAATTCCCAGTGGATATTTGTGTAGAAACTGACAAGTTGAGCCTAAAATTCATGCAGAACAATTTTGAAAAACAAAATGGATGTTCATTTTCCAATTTTACATTTACTATAAGCTACAGTAATCAAGTAATGTGGTACTTATGACAAGACTACACAGTAATATAACAGAACTGAGTCCAGAAATAAACCCTTATATTATGGTCAACTGACTTTCAAGAAAGGTGACAAAACAATTCAGTGAGGAAAGACAGTCCTTTAAACTAATGGTGCTGGGACAGTTGGATAGTCACATGCAAATAAATGAATTTAGACCTTTACCTCCCAATATTAAAAAAAAGAAACAAGCAAACACAACCTCAAAATTACCTAACTAAATGTAAGAACTAAAACTTCTATAAAGCTTTTTAAAGAAACAGGAAATCTTTAGAACCTAGGCAAAGGTTTTTCGATATGACATCAAAAACATGATCCATAGAGAAAATCTTATAAATTGAACTTAAAATTCAAGACTTTTAAGCTACAAAAGTTACCATAAGCAGTAGACTGGGGGATAATGTTCATAATGCATACATCTGATAAAGAACTTGGATCTTGACTGTACAAAAAACTCTCAAAACTCAAGACAATCCAATTAAAAAATGGGCAAAATGGCTGAGTAAACATTCAAGGGGAAAAAAGGTAATAAGCATGGATACTTAGTCATTAGGAAAATGAAAAAATTCAAACTACAATGAGGCCAGTGGTGACAACCTCCCCACAACATTTCTCTCGCTAAAGATCTTCGTCCCTCTGCAGAGGAGAAGAGGAAACACAAGAAACACCTGGTGCAGAGCCCCAATTCCTACTTCATGGAAGTGAAATGCCCAGGATGCTATAAAATCACCACCATCTTTAGCCAGGCACAGATGGTAGTTGGGTGTGTTGGCTGCTCCACTGTCCTCTGTCAGCCTGCAGGAGGGAAAGCAAGGCTTTTGGAAGAATGCTCCAGAAGGAAGCAGCATGCTCTAAAAGCACCTGAATCAAGATGAGAGGGGACCCATTCCAATAAACACATTATGGATACCGGAAAAAAAAACAAAAACAAAAAAACACGAAAAACAAAGATATTAGAGTAGCTTAAATATTTTTAAATGGACAATAATGTGCTAGTGAGGATGCAGAGTAACAGGAACTTTCCTAACATTACTGATAAAACTGCAGAATATTACAGCCAATGTAGCCAGTGAATTAAAACAAAAATATATATATATATATTGGGTAAGAAAACTATTTGTAAATGACATGATTGTATATGTAGAAAATTCTCAGGAATTTAGAAAATAAAACTACAAAAAATAAGTGGATTTATAGCAAGGTTGCAAGACATAGTTTATTTACAAAAATCAACTGTACTAACCAAAAAACTGAAAAATAAAATTTTTAAAAATACCATTTACAATAGTCACAAAACGTAATATTGTTAAAATGTCCAGTCTCCTCAAAATGAACTATGATGTAATTCCAATCAAAATCCCAGCAAGGTTTTTCTAGAAACTGGTAAGTTGTAAAGTTTGTATGAAAACTCAAAAGTAATTTTGGGAGAAAAGAAAGGAGCAAAGTTGGATTTATACTACCTGATCTTAACAGTTACAAAGCTACAAAAACCAAGGAAGTATGGTATTAGTGTAAAGACAGATATAGAACAGTGAAGAGGATGAGGAATTCAGAAATACATGACCACGTGATTTTTTTGTGTGTGGTAAAATAAATAACATAAAATTTATCATTTTAACCATTTTAAAGTATATAATTTGGTGAGTTTTGGTACATTCAGAATGTTGTAAAACTATCACCATTATGCAGTTCCAGAACTTTTTCTCATCACCCCAAAGAGAAAACCCTTTACCAATTAAGCAGTCACTTCCTACTTATGGTACCATCCCACCTCCCTGCAACCACTATATGTGTATCTCTATGGACTTGCCTGTTCCAGACCTTACACATAAATGGAATCATGCAAAATGTGTGGCCTTTTGTGTCTGGCTTCCTTCACTTAACATAGTATTTTCAATGTTCATCTGTAATGTAGCAGTGTGTCAGTACTCCATACCTTTTCATGGCTGCTGTCGGGACTGATTTTTGACAAAGATGTCAAGGAATTCAATAAGAGAAAGGATAATTGTCCAACAAATAGTGTTACAACAGCCAAATATCATGAATCTAATAAAACAAAAATGAACCTCTATCTCTATCATTACTTAATACACAGAAAATAACTCAAATTAAAACACAGACCTAAATGTAAAATATAAAATGTGTAAGTAAAGATGAGAAAAATCTCCGCAGCCTTGGGCTGGGCAAAGATTTCTTGGACAGGACACAAAAAGCACTAAACAAAACAGAAAACTGATAAGCTGGAGTTTATCAAAACTTGGGCTCTTCAAAAAACACCACTGAGCCCTGGCCCCGTGGCTCGGTTGGAGCACCATCCCATCGCCAAAATGTCGCAGGTTTGGTCCAGGGGCTTAGGATCCCTGGTGCCGGCAAGTAAGGGAGGCAACCAGTCAATGTTTCTCTCGTCATTGTTTCTCTCCCCCTTCCTCCCTCTTAGAGCAATGAAAAAATGTCCTCAGGTAAGGATTTAAATTTAAAAAAAAAAAAAAAAAAGACACCACTAAGAAAAGGAAAAGCCAGCCACAAACAGAAAAAAATATTCACAATACATACAACTGACAAAGGAACTGCATCTAGAACATACAAAGAACTTAATTTTAAAAGCCAATTTCTTTAGTGGGCAAAAGATACAAATAGCCTCTTTACAAAAGAAATATGTATATGAATAGTAAGCACATGAAAAGTTACCCATGGGGAAAAGCAAATTAAAATACATTGGAATGGCTAAAATTTAAAACAGTACGAGTGAAATAACAACCCCCAAAGATGTCCCTATCCTAAGAGCCCAGAACCTGTGAATATCACTTTGTGGCAAAATGGACTCTGTGGATGTGATTAAAGTTAAGGACTTGGGGATGGGGACATTACCCTAATATGGTGGGCCCAATTTAATATGGTCCTTAAAATCAGAGAACCTACCCAGGCAGTAGCCAGAAGGACTCTGTGACTATGGCAGAATGGCCAGAGAGAGAGATGTTACTGGCTCTGAAGACTGAGGACAGGGCCACCAGCCAAATAGGGGTGACCTCTAGAAGCTGGGAGAAGCATGGAAATGGACTTATCCATATAGTCTCCACAAAGGCAGGCTCTGGTGACACCTCGACTTTAGTCTATTTAGGTCTTCTACAGAACTGTGAGGTAAGAAATTTGCATTGTTTTAAACCACTAAGTTTGTGGTAATTTGAAATCAACAATACCAGTTTGGGTGAGGGTGTGGAGCCACCATGACACACCCTGCTGCCCGGAAGGTGAGACGATGGCTCAAACATTCTGGAAGCCTGCTGGGCAGTTTCTAAGAACATATATCTAGTCTGTGACCCAGCAGTCCCATCCTGACACGTAGGCCCTGGAGAGCTGAGCGCCTGTGTCCACAGAGACAACCTGTGTAAGAAGGTACTGACAAGCACATTATCTTAGTCCAAAACTGAAGACAACCCTTCGTGCTCAGGGGGGCCCGCCACTCAAACCTCCCTTCAAGGACGCCTTCTGCAAGGAGCTGCTGGGTCTTGGGGCCCAGCAGAGCACCCCCAGGGCCAAGCCCAGGCCCTCCCTGGCGCAAGGCTAGGACCTAGCTATTTCTGCCCAAAGTAGAGATACAACTTCCTCTGGGCTGGCCCAGACTTCTAAGAGTTCTGTCACCATCTGAGGTGACTCCTGTCCAGACCTCCTTCCTTCTCCCTCTCCTTTTACAGATGTTGGACCTGTTTTGTTTTGCCACATGAAGACTTGCCCTGCCCATCCCTCTTCCCGTTTTATCTCCAATAAATCTCATACTTCTGTCTGGGCACCTAACAAAACCCAGGTGTTCATTAACAGGTGAGTCGATAAGTAAACTGTGGTATATTCCTATGACGGAATACTAAGTAATAAAAATGAATAAACTACTGATACATATAACATGGATGAATCACAAAAACACGAGTAAAAGCCAGACACAAAGTACACATTGTGAGATTCTATTTATACCAAGCTCTGAAGCAACACTAATCTATGGTGAAAGAAATCGTAACAGTGGTTGCCTCTGGTGGTAGGGGAATTAGTAGGAAAGTAACAACAGAGAACTTTCTGGAGTAACAGAAATGTTCTTCATTTTCTTTGGAAAAGTTGAGACACAGACACATGTACTGTCAGAACTCATCAATCTATACACATTAGACCTATGCATTTATTATAGGTAAATTATACCTCAATAAAGTTAGTTTTTTTAAATACATACACAGAATTACCATTTCACCACCCACTCACCTGGATCTATCTTTTTTTCATAGCACTTACCTTCTAACATACTATCTTGTTAAGTTTCTTACTCATTTGTCTCCTCTGCTAGAGTTCATCTCTACAAGGGGGGAGGGATTTTTGTATGGCTCCCTGATACCTCAAGCACATAGAACATGGGTCCTAGCATTACATACCAGTTGAATAATCTGGCCATTCCTGGCCAGAAGTAAAATGAAAGAACATGATTTTGTTTCCCAAAGCATTTCCCAATCTATTCTTTATTTGATTCTCTTAATTGTGTGAGATAGATGTTTTGCCTTTATTTAAGAAATAAAGCAATGGGAATGTTTCTCGCTCACTGTCAGAATGACTGAGAGCTGGACCAAAACATCTGGTCTTCTGACTTCTGGGCACTGAGCCCAATTTAACTGAATATTCACTTGGTGCAGAGAGGACACACAAACATACACTTTTTTCAAGAGAATGTGGCCAGCACTGAAAAAGGGGCTCCGGGAAACAGGGGCACCAATCTAAGTGTGCAGGGGAGGCTTCCTGGAAGAAGTGGTGCCCAGGATGAGTATTGATGGATTTTTTTAATTAAGCAAAAAAAGTAGAAACAGGATTTCAGCAGAGGGACCAGCATGAGCAAAGGCATCAAAGCAAGATATGGCGAGGGAATTTGGAAAAATAAGCCTGTGTGGTGTGAGGCATGTAGGATATATGAAGGTAACAGGAGACAAGGAGGGAGAGGGAAAAGGCATCCAGATTTCAACAGCCACTGAAGCAAAGGTGACAGGAGCAACATTAGCACGTAAGAACTTGTACCTCAGATGACCTGACTGCTATGATAGGAAGAATGGATGGGAGAAAAGACTGTCCTGGACCACAGCAGAGAGGCCCCCCTGCCCCGCCCCCCACTCACCTAAATAGAATCGAAGGAAGGGTGATGGTGTCATGTTCTTAAACATCATGATCTGCACCCAAGGGTTTTTGTATTGGATCTGAGGTATGTTGAAAAACACAAATTTCCTGCAAAGAAGAAGAACCCATGAAAATGAGTTTTGAACCTAAAATTTTGCAACCTGTATACTTATTTTTCTAGGAAAAAAAGGTACAGAATTTTCATCAGATTCTCAGAGGACCGTGCCCCCCAAAAAGGCTGAGGAAAGTAGCTTTCAGGAATGTGTTAGTGTGCTCTCTGAGCATGGGTGTTTACTCATGGTTTGTCATCTGACGGAAATCTGTATCCCTACCTCACACTGTACACTAGCCTAAAATTCACCAAAGCAGAAGTATAAATGTAAAAATGACACTGGAATGTCCTTGATCTTAATTTGAATGGTGGTTACACAGGCGTATCCATAAGTAGAATTCATGGTTCCCTGACACCCCACACACATAGAACATGGGTCCTAGCATTCATTACGTATCTGTTGAATTATCTGGCCATTCCTGGCCAGAAGGAAACTTCATGTATACTTAAATTTAAAAATATATAAAAACAAACGTGGAAAATTTTTACAATCTAGAATTGGTAAAACCTGTAAACTTAGGAAGTTTAAAGTGTAAGTGTAACTACATTGAAACACTTGCATGGCAAAATTTACCAAAAACAAAATCAACATTCACTAAACCAAAGGGAAAAGTGTTTGTAAAA